ATGAGAGAAGAGTTCATGGGGTACAGCATGCAGCAAGACTGTCTCCCAGTCTCAGGGCCCAGGGAGCAAACCCCTAGAAGTTCCAGCCTGTTGGTCCCACTGAATCTCTGAGAGTTTGGTCACCCTGCTTGTAAGACTCAATGTCTGCTCTCCATGAGGTCATATTTGGAATGTTGTGGCAAGTGACGAAGCCCCCTTGGCTGCTGTCTGGGGTCCTGTTTGCCCCTCTGATCCTCTTCCTGGGGGGAACTGAGAATGTGAGATGATGTAGGGTTGGGCCTGGGAGCAGGCATTCATGTGTTTGTGGCATCCAATGTACCCATACAAGGCCAGGACATCTGTATCCAAACAGAAGGCTCCATGGTCAGAGCCAAAAGCCCAGCCCAAGGGCAATGTGGGTGAGTCTCCTGGATGGGAGAGGAATGCCCTGATTATTCTCCAAAGCATGAGGCCAGGAGGGAGAATGAAGAAGTCTGATGTTCTCCACTGGGCAGGCAGTTGAGGAATGTGGCTGGATCAGTCCTGGATGACCTGATTATTCACTGGAGATCCCCACTCTGAACCACCTAATAGGGAAATAATTGAAGGCTAGGATTGCTTGGGAACTAATAGGATGTGGCTACTTTGGTGAACTTTTAATATCACAGTGGTGGGGCAAGGGCTGTAGGGGATTGAAAGAAAGACCAATAGAGTCGTTCATCTATGGAAGAGGCCTGGTATAGTTTGGATGTTTGTCTTCTCCAAATCTCATGTTAACATGTGATCCCCAATGCTGGATGTGGGACCTGGTGGGAAGTATTTGGGCCATGGGGGAAGATCCTTCATGAATGGCTTGATACTGTCTTCGCAGTAATAAGTGAATTCTCACTCTATTAGTTCGTGTGAGAGCTGATTGCTTAAAAGAACCTGACAATTATCTTGCTCCCTCTCTTGCCATGTGACATGCCTGCTCCCCCTTCACCTTCTACCACGAGTAAAATCTTCCTGAGGCCTCACCAGAAGCTGAGCAGATGCTGGTGCCATGCTTGTACAGTCTTCAGAACCATGAGCCAAATAAGCCTCTTTTCTATACAAATTACCCAGCCTCAGGTACTTCATTATAGCAATGCAAAACAGACTAACACGAGGCCCAGTGGCGAAACAATAAAACATCAGCAAATATGTTGCAGAAAGAAAAGTCCTGACCCAAAGGCAAAACTCACTACCAGGGTAGATTCAGGATAGTTTTTTCATTTTCAAACTAGCTGCATAAAATAGGTGTGTCTGGCAGTGGTGCTGAGAAAAATCCAGATACAGAAATTGACAGCTGCCCCTATTGTTCAACTTAATATTGGATCAAAGATAAAGAATAATTCTCTGCTTCATACGTGCCCTATTATTCTCTGTTACAGCAGTACCTTCAAAAGATAGAAACATACTGGAACCTTCTGTGTCTTGCTGCTGCTCTTATCCCTGAGCTGGAGAGGATTGCTGCCCATTTGCTCTTGGCTTCACAGAATAAAGTACTACCTTCTACCCTTCTCTAGAATTTATAGCTGCCCTCTATTTTGTTATTAAATATTCTCCTGGCTGTCCTGCTTCCTTTATGGTTTTGGGGTCACATATTGTGTGATGAATGCTGTCTCTTCTTCAAGTTGTAGAAAATGCAAGTGAATGCCCTGCCATGAGTGACTAGGTTGGTCAAGAAGGACAAGAAAACACTCCCCCAACCCTGCCCCTGCTTTGACCTCATTGCTGGGACTTGGGTGTATTGCTGCACCTTCATATGCCATGGGGGCTGGTCTGAAGCTTGGGTCCACAAGAACTGACCTGGTTCTGGACTAGACCTTGAGTCTGACTCTGCAGGGGCTGGCCAGGTGCTGGAACAGTCTTGACACCTGGGTGGGTCCACTGGGATGTACCTGGAGCCCCAGTCCAAAGGGATTGGCCTCGTGTTAGAACAGGCCTAGTGCCTGAAACTACTGACATGGGCCTATAGCCTGAAATCACAGGGACTGGCCTGGGCCTGGATCTGCATTGGTTGTCTTGGAATCTCAGTCCATGAAGTCTGGTCTGGCACTATGATCTTATTGGGTAGTCCTGGACTCTGAGTCTTCTACAGCCTTGGGATATAGGGGAAATAGACTGGAACATGGGACCATCCTGGTTTAGGGACCAGCATGAAGTCTGGGTCTGCAGTGGCTGGGTCTGGACTCTAAGATTGCCAGCACTGGCTTGGTGCCTGGAGCCACTGGGGCTGGTCTGGAGGCTGGGACCATGAGGACCAGCCTGAAGCCTATGTCCAGTGGTGCCTGCCTGGAAGCTGGGTATGCAGGTGCTAGACTGGAGTCTAGGTCTGTGAGGGCTGGCCTAAGTCCTGGTATCTTAGAGTCTGGCTTGGGGCTTAGGTACACAGGAGCAGTCTTGAAGCCTGGTTTCATGGGGGCTGGTCCAATGCTGGTCTCTACTGGGACAGGTATGGACACTGGGTCTGCTCAAGCAGAACTGGACTCTAGGTCCACTGCGTAAGGCCATAGGGACCAGTCTGGAGTGTGATGCTGCAGGGACTGACTCGCCACTAGATGGGGCTGGAGTCTGTGTTTACAGATGCACACCAGGTGTGTGAGGCCGGGGTACTGACTTGGCACTGAGGCCAGCCTGAAGCCTAGAGTCACAGGGGCTAGCTTGGTACTGGGTGGGCCTGGATCTTGTATATTCAGGGGCTGGCCTAGAAGCTGGGTCTGCAAGTACAGACCTGATGATTAACACTGGGGGCCACAGCCTGGTACTTAGGAAGTCCTAAAGCCTAGGGCTGTGGGGACTAGCTTGGTGCTGCGCTGGTCCAGAGCCCAGGGATTCTAGGGCCAGTCTGGATCCTGGGGCCAGTGGGGTTGGCCTGATATTGGGGCAGGCCTGGAACCTGGGGCTGCAGAATTCTACCTGGCACTGGGGAGGCTGGGAGGCTCAGTCCACGGTTATTGGCCTGAAACATGAGCCCACAGAAGCTGACCTGGCGCTGGGCAGGCCTGGAACCTACATCCATGTGGTTGTGGGGCTGTGGGTGTCAGCCTGATGCTGAGGTGAGTCTGGAGTCTTGGACCATCAGGGTCTTTCTGGCACTACCTTCTACTGAGGGCAGACCCAGTGTTAAGGTCCAAGGCAAAGTCCAGTGCTCACTTTACTCTCCTTCTTGTCTCATGTGTTTCATGCAGATGTCTGTTGAAAGGACAGGCCACACTCAAAGCTTTCTTCATGACCTATAGCCGCCCTAAATCATTCCCATGAGCCACTCCCCACAGTAATCCCTGAAATCCAATGAATACAATTCCAGCCCACCGCTCAGGGCACTCCTGTCCCCCTCTTCGCAGATCTCCCCTTGATGCCCCAGCATTGCTCCCACCTGGTTCTTGAGTCCCTCCTTGCCCATCTCCTCCATCAGATGATTATATTTTGCAGCTCTCTTGCTTGTTTTCTCTGCAGGACAGGAAGGACAATCAGGTTTCATCCATGGCAACCATGGATTACAGCAGGACCCCCCTAACTGTTCTTCCTGCTTCATGCTTTGGCCCCTTCCAGCCTGTTCATAACCAAGCAGCTGGAGGTATCCCTGGAAGGCTCCAAACCCTTCACAGACTGCACATATCATGGAGAGTAAAAGCCAAAGAACTTTCACTGCTCTACAAGTCCTCACAAGTCTATTACCTGAACGTCTATTACCTCTCTGATTACATTTCCAGTTCTTGCTCTCACTTCCTCTGCTCCAACCACTAAGTTTTCCCTTGAACACATCAGGCATACTCTTGCCACACAATCTTCACACAGGCCACAGGCTGCTCCCTTTGCCTGGATAACTCCTCCTGAAATAGCTGCCTGGCTAACTCCAACATCTTCCTCAGTATTTGTTTGACTATTGCCCTCCAATGAAGCCTACTCTGACCATCCTAATGTAAAATGCCAGCCAATGCCCCTCCCCAGCACTGTGGATCCCCCTTGCCTTGCTAAATTTTTCCATAGCATTTATTGCCTCCTAATGTATCATGTGTTTTGTTATTTTTTAGTTTTGGTTTCTCCCTTACTCTCCTTTGGTAAGAAAATTACCTCCGCAGGGCCAAGATACTTGTATCTTTTATTCACTGATTAATTACAAGTGCCAAGAACAGTGTTTGCCTCATAGTCAGTGCTAAACAAATATTCATTAAATGAATGAATAAATGTAATACATAGAGCAGAATGATTGGCATCGTTAGGTAAGCAATGAATAAGTGATAGCAATGATATTCAAATAATTCTGTGATAAATTATAATTATGAACCATAATTGTTAACATTTTAGGGATGGCAAGTCCTTCTCTTTTATATCATAATATGATAATTTATAATATAATATTTTTTATCATAATACAAAAGAGAAGGACTTGCCATCCCTAAAATGTTACATACCCACATGAACACACACACACACACACACACACACACACACACACACACAAGCACACGTACACATGATCCCTGCTGAGGAGTAACTATTGACAACCTACTATGTGGTTAGCCTTTATGTTAAGCACCATGAACACAAGGGTAAGAGCTGGATTTTTTGGTTGCACAGCCTGTGTTTCAGACACCCGTCCTCCCAGGGAATCCCACAGAAGAGCCCCTGTACCCTTCGAGTACACGCAGAACCCAAGCCCCCAAGCCATTTCCCCTGGGCCATCCTAATGACTCCCTCAGCCTTGATGGAAGGAGCCACAATGTTCCCACCCACCACCTCTTACTGGCCACAGGAAACTGCCCACCCACCCACTGCATGCCCATCGGCTGGACAGTGGTAGAGGCAGGTCCTGAGGAGCATATGCTCAGAGAGAGGAACCCTGGCTCTCTTAAGGACTGCTCACTAATAATTGGGTCCCCTACCACAGAGGCTGAGGATGTGAGTCCCTGAGGAGACGTGGTGACCTGAGAGTTCTCGACCAAAAAGACCTTGTGTGTCATCTATCACAAACAGTGCCCAGGCCAGTCAGGACCATGCTCAGGCTTCTGAGACAGGCTTTGGCCTTCTTCCAGAGGAAGGCAGACCCCACACAGAGGCAGGGCCCACAGCAACAGGGGCTCCCACAAGGTATTCCTCTGTGTGTCCCCTTACGTCCCACCCCAGAAGCCTCCCAATAGGGGCTCTCCTCACCCCTGGAAAGGAGCTGTGGAGACTTAAGCAGGCACTGCCCATGGAGGTGGCTCCATATTGTGTGTGTGTGTGCATCGGACTGGGGGATGTGTCCCGAGTCCCCAGCAAGCCCCTGAGAACAAGGCTTGCATCGACCTAAACCCCAAACTCTCTTGTCAGTCCAAAGCAGGAGGTTACTGACAGGGAAGGCTATGGGGGCTGTACCTCCCTCTCCACTCTCCCACTCACCTGCATCTCCCTGACCCCAAGTTTTCCCACGTGCTTCCTGCAGCAGATTTCTTTTGATATTTAAAATAGGCATGAAACCCCCTAATTTGAGGGTGAATTTGGCCATGTATCCAAAAAGGGCATGCATTTGAAGCCAAATGGATGAGTCATATATCTGTTGCCCATAGGAGGTCGTGAGCCACATTTAACTTATTCTCCTTTGTATCCTAAAATCCCAGCACTGAGTGGACATTCAAAGGAGATGTGTGATGGCATTTGCATTTGGCGAGTGTGAGTCCATAACACATGAGAAGGTTTGCGGGAGTGGATCACATCCCTGCTCTGAATTATATTAATTCTACTTTTTGTTGAATGCTTGCATGTGCCAGGCCCCAAGCTAACGGTCATTCATTTCATTTAATTCTCATGAAAATTCCAGTGATGGAAGTCCTAGTGTTGTCATGCTCATTTTATAACTGAGTCAGGGAGACACAGACAGACGCAGACGTTCAGGTCCAGCAGCCATTTGTTATCCTCTAAGCTCCCCACCTCTGAAGGCACCTCCTGCCACAAGAGTAGAATCACGATATCTTCAAGAGGATGGCATATGACAGCCTCTTCTTTGGTAAGTAGTATTCTGTTAGCAGGGACCTGCTTTCCTGGTGCTAGAATCTCCCTGTAGCTTCTCTGCTAGCTGAGTTTGAACCCCTGCTGAGGTGGCTAAGTCTTAGCAAAGTTTGTTCAGAGAAGACTGTTTCTTAGCTTTTGGCTGAAATTTCTCACTGCAGCATTCATTCACTATTAGCTCTATTTGTGCCAACAGGGACACATGGAAGGCTCTTCAACAAATCTTCACGTGTCTGAGTGGCAGTTGCTTCCATTGCTCTCCCTCTTGCTTCTGTAATATGATGTAACAAACAAGTTTGACCCATTAAAAAAAATTGTCAGGTTTTCTTGATTTCTGTTTTTATAATCTGGTATAATCACAAATTTTCCCAGGCATTCTGTCAATTTACCTAAGTTGTGGGATAGGCAGTTGTGGCATTATGGTTCAGAGCTCAGATTCTGCAGGCAGACTGCCTGGGGTTAGATCCCCAAATATCACCTACCAGCTATGCTTGTTCAGAAAAGCAACAACAACAGCAACAACATAGTTGTTGATTCAGATGCACTATGGGGCTAGACTTAAATTCCTGATATCTTTTAGTGCTCTGGTGAGATGTTTAAGAATCTGCAGATGATGCTGCTCATTGTGTTGATGATAATGATGAAGTTATATAATAATAGTGGTAATTTAAGGACTCTTCATATGCAGATATAATGATAGCAACAGCATTTACATTCTAACCTATGCAAGGCACTCACAGTTCTAAGCAGTTGATATGTATGTGTCCATTAACCCTCACTGCAGAAATCATGCAGAAATTGTTAACTATCTTTGTCTGACAGAGGAAAACAGGGTCAGAGAGGTTAAGAGATGTATGCAGGCTTATGCAGATCGTACATGTAGGAACTGAAACCCAAGCGGTCTGGATCCAGACTCAGTGTTCTTAACTATGACCCCCTAATGCCTGTGGTGTGAGGCCACTGTGCCATACAGAGAAGTGGTGGTCCAGAATGTGAACCTGGGCACTCTGCCTCCAGAATCCTGCATAGCTGATTATTACGCTCTTCTGTGATCTGTATCTCAAATCCAGGTCATTCTATTCCTAGAAGTACATGGTTGTCTATCATATTTTCCTCTCGTAGGGCTTATTTGTAATGGGTGTTTGCTTTTGAGATTAATAATATAAACTGTTGTTTGCTAATCCCATAGGTGGCACCACATTGAAAACTGTGCAGGGATTTGTGACAAATGTCTCTAGTAATTACGGCTTGATTAATGAGTTGAACTACAGCAGTAGTGATATTGTCACTGACAATGTGGCTCTGAAAGTTGGACAAAAAGTTACTGCAGTTGCGAAAGAAGATAAACCATCTCATGGATTGAAAGCTATCAAAGTAAGATTTGCATTAGTTTGGGGATAATCTCTTATCCTTGTGGGCTTTCAATTTTGCTTTACTTATATTAATCTAGCCTCTCTAATGCGATCTGTAGAGTAGATGTACAGTGAAATTTGAAATCCTACTCTCCTGACTGTGCAGGTTCTCTTCTTCTAATATCAATATTTATGTGGCTAAGAGTAAAAATTGTTGAGGTCAGGAGTTCAAGACCAGCTTGGCCAGCATAGTAAAATACTGTCTCTACTAAAAATACAAAAATTAGCTGGGCATGCTGGTGGGTGCCTGTAATCCCAGCTACTTGGGAGGCTGAGGCAGGAGAATCACTTGAACCCAGGAGATGATGGGTACAATGAGCCGAGATCGTACCAGTGTACTCCAGCCTGGGCAACAAGACTGAAATATCTCGAAAGAAAGAAAGAAGAAAGAAAGAAAGAGAGAAAGAGAGAAAGAAAGAAGGAAAGAAAGAAAGAAAGAAAGAAAGAAAGAAAGAAAGAAAGAAAGAAAGAAAGAAAGAAAGAGGGAGAAAGGAAGGAAGGAAGGAAGGAAGGAAGGAAGGAAGGAAGGAGAAAGGAAGGAAGGAAGGAAGGAAAAGAAAAGAAAAGAAAGAAGAAAGAGAAGAAGGAAGGAAGGAAGGAAGGAAAGAAAGAGAAAGAAGGAAGGAAGGAAGGAAGGAAGGAGGGAAGGAAAGAAAGAAAGAAAAGAGTAAAAATTGTATATTTGTCCTTCCACTGTTTAAACAATATGGTTAACATTGTTAATTATTGAACTCTATATAATCGTGTAACTTCCTTTTTCAGGTTAAAAACACGCACCATTTTCTAATATTATGCATTCATAGACATAGAATTGCTATTTCTCAAAACATGTGCATTTTAAACTTTTTTTAAAATAAAGCTTTATTGAGGTATAATTTACATACCATAAAATTTTCTCATTTTAAGGGTATAATTCATTGACTTTTTGGTAGATTTACAGAGTCATGTAACCATCATCACAGTCCAGATATTTACCGTTTTGATGGGTATTATCAAATTATCTTTTGGCTGAATTGTACTAATTGACACTCTCAGCAGCAGGCTGCAAGACTGCCTGTTTGCCAGTATTAGCAAGGATAGGAATATGATCAATCTGAAATCTTTGCCACTGTTAGTAGTAAAAAGCAGTCTCATAATTTTATTTGGAATTTCTTTAAGTCTTGATGAGATCACTGCAACTTTTATTTTCTTACAACTATTTACATGTTAGGGCATTACAGTTACTTTTATGTTAGGGAAATTAACACTTTATTAGGAAAATTAGTATATAAATATTTTGCAGTTATTTTCACAGTAGTCTTTTAGCTTTGTTTCATGCTGTTCAATTTTTTGTATTAAATATGTCCATTTTGCCTTTGTGGCTTTTGGGTTAAGAATTCTTATTCCAATTCATAATTTACATCAGTATTCATTTAGACTTTCCTATGGAAGTTATTATTTATTTAGATCTAAACTTTCATTCTACCTGTAATTGATTGAGGTGCACAAACTGAGAGAGGGATCTATATCTAGTTTATAATCCACTTTGTCCCTATTGTACCAAAATGCCTTCTATTATGCAATACATTCTCACAAGCATTTTAATCTGTCTGCACTATTGTGTTGGATCCTATTTGTGAAGGAAAATAAACAGAATTGGGAGAGTGGAAGTTTGACATGGAACGTGGGGTAAGGTTTAGTCTGCGTATGGTTGTATACTAGTTTGGAGTCAGGGAAGAGAGAGGTCAGAGATCACTATGGATCATCTACTTGAATGCTGACAGAAGCGGTATTGGAAAGACAGATGGGAGCCTGGTGCTTCATTCCTTAATGAAAGTGAGTGAGAGGGAAGTAACCATGAGAGTGGCACAGGTATTGACAGCTGGAAGATGCCAATTGAGAAACGAATATCAGTGAAATAGGTATTTAAAAAACATGAAAGCTGATTTACAGCTCAATAGCTCATTTCCACCAAAAATCTTTGAACAAGAAGTTTCACTCTTAGAAGTTTATCCTACAGAAATAAAATCAAGCAAGTAAGCAATGTATTTGGATAAAACCTAAATGCTCAACAAGGTGAAATTAGATCTATAAATTATGGCACAATCATTCTTTGAGATGATGTATTTCCCTTTCAATAGTCTTTTGTTCTATAAAAATGTTTGTGATCACTATGTGTTATTTGAATACTATATACAATGTTAAATTTTGGTTTTATAACAAGGCGTATATACTTTTACACAGAAAAAAACACCTAGAGCAGGGTAAATATGAAAATGTGGTCAATGGTTGTCTTTAGATTAAGCATTGTGCTTATAATTATAAATTATCAAATAAGGACTATTATACTTCCAATAAGCAAAAAGGTTTGTATGCCTCCCTATCATAGATAAATTAAAGCCCTAATTTGACTTGATATTTTTAGAGTCTTTTCCCGGTTGAGGTTATTTTTATAACTTTATCTCATGTTTGCTCCGCAGGCCTGGATCTTGAATGTTATGGTTTCATTTCTTCTTCCCTTTAATTGTGTTGTTTTTCCTTTCTTTCTGTCTGCTCTTGCCCAAACCCCACATTTGCCAGGTTAAATCTTTCTCTTCTTTCGCAACCCAGCTCAAATCTGACTTCCTCCAAGAAAAGCCCTTCTTTTCTCTAAGTCTGAAATTTTCTCCCTTCAGGAAATCCAATTTTTGAACTTGTTTTATATCCTTTATCACAGCTTATTTAAAACTTGTAATTTTTCTCTTTTATTGTTGTTACATCATGAAGTCCTACAGGGCAAGAATAGTTACAATTATTATTTTTCTTTTTTTTTGAGATAGAGTTTCACTCTGTCCCCCAGCTTGGAGTGCAGTGGTTTGATCTCGGCTCACTGCAACTTCTGCTTCGCGGGTTCAAGCGATTCTTTTTTTGTTTGTTTTATTGCATTTTAGGGCTTTGGAGTATATGTGAAGAACATGCAAGATTGTTGCATACGTACACACCTGGCAGTGTGATTTGCTGCCTTCCTCCTCATCACCTACATCTGGCATTTCTCCCCATGCTATCTCTCCCCAACTCCCCACCCCCCGCTGTCCCTCCCCATTTCCTCCAACAGACCCCAGTGTGTAGTGCTCCCCTTCCTGTGTCCATGTGTTCTCATTGCTCAACACCTGCCTATGAGTGAGAACATGCGGTGTTTGATCTTCTGCTCTTGTGTCAGTTTGCTGAGAATAATGGTTTCCAGGTTCATCCATGTCCCTACAAAGGACATGAACTCATCGTTTTTGATGGTTGCATAATACTCCATGGTGTATATGTGCCACATTTTCCCTGTCCAGTCTATCATCGATGGGCATTTGGG